CTCTCTCTCTCTCTCTCTCTCTCTCTCCCTCCCTCTCTCTCTCTCTCTAGGGTGCTAATGTACAAAATTCCATTAGATATTTATTCCAAAATACTTTTCAAAAACAATTACGAGACACTCTGGTAATTAATTATACATTTTCCGTAACTTTAATAATGTTTTGTAGGCGGAGCTAATGACTGAGAACGGCTGGTTAACTTCCATAGAACAAGATGCTCTTGAGTTTTTAAAAATGTTAGAGACGTACTATCCTACCTACGTCTATGAGACTGCAAAGATGATCTATAACAGCTCCAGTGACCACTCGTACCAGCCACCAGTGTCCACTCTATCACCAGTGAACAACACTGGGAATGTACTGAACATGTACCCGGAGACATTTGGAGGAGTAAGGGAGAGGGAGAGAGGGAATTTATTACATATTCTGATGCATATACATGTTATGTTGCGTAGAAAGTTTGAGCTAATTCCGATTAAAATTGAATTTTCTACAAATTTCTGAAGTTACTCCAAAATCGAACAAAAGTCTGCTAAAAAACGCTAAAAATGCTAAAAGTAGACTACATTTACTGATGTGTACATATACCCATAATGTATTCTTGCTAATCTCATTCTCATAATTTGGTTCCAGGATCACCCACTAGTATGGGAACCAGTCTCCAATCCTCTATCTCCAGCCAGTGAGTCACAGAGGGGACTGTATCTTGAGACTCCACTGGTATCAGTTCTGAGGTGGAACAATGAAACGAGACAGAGGATACTGTTTGATGCTGTCGTCATATCAGGAACAAACAAAGGTAGAACTACATTAATATATTATAGTGTTTTAATTTGGTGGAGCTTTATTTTAAAATGTAGTGATTTTTGATATCAAAATCTCCTATCAATATTAAACCCACCAATCATTAATGTACATGTACATACTAATACACTTGTGTACACAATATTAACAGATTAGATACTTGCAGAATAATTGTATTTTATAGCAATGTTGTTAAAATAAGTTGCAATGAGATTAAGACTTAATTCTTTTCTCTCTCTCTCTTAGATTCAGTTCAGAGTCATAGGCTAGTATCCCCAGAGGATCAGTTCAGTTATTATTTATTACATCATGACTTGGACACTGCTCAGTCTCTCCTACCCTCTCTCTCTCACCAAACCTCTCACTCTCTCATCTCAGCCTCTTCATGTAACGTATGAAATCATCTTATTTAATTCCTATTTTGACATTGGGCATTTTGTAATTTTGTGTTAGTAATGTTTGTTACTATTAATAGATGATAGTTATGGAAGTGACAAGAGGAAGAGCAGCAGTGAGTCCTTACCTTCTCCTCCTCCCATTCCTCCTGATCAACTGGATGCAGCTGTTAACCTTCTCTCATCAATAATAAAGTAAATTATGATAATAATATGTACTTTTACATCTGTACATGTACATGTACATCAACTGTGTTCTGTGTTTAGTTAATTTTATTAATGGTCATAGTTAACTAAAATTGAAGGAAAAAACTGTACAATTGCTATAGCCAAACTTCCAATACATCAATACTAATTTGATTGTTTATTTACCTTAAGGTTACTTTTAAATGCGGGTACTATTAATTGCGAATTTTGCGTTTGGGTTAAAAATCGCAATTATTAATACGCGCAATTATTAATAATGACATCATGATGCCATATAACTATTAGTAATAATTACTTAATCGCAATTTTTAATACCAGCAAAATCTACCTTGTGCTAAAATCGC